GAGAGAGAGAGAGAGGCTAATAGTGATCACTAAAAAGTGGGATCAAGAAGCCTACATTTTAAAATTGCAATGGCATCAAGAACCCTATCCTGGAACACCAGAACAAGCTCTCAAAGCGGGATCAATCCCAGAGCTACAATGCATTCTCCAGAGTTTTTGAGTTTTGGTGGTTTGTACATCATTGGTTGCTTTTTTTGGAAACCAATTCCTAGTTCAGGCAAACTAAGGGATTCTGCCCCTTGTAAAACCCTACCAATTTCCTTTTTGCTAGTTAGGTTTTTTGAGAAAAAGTGGATGAGCAGAAAAGGAATACTCAATTTAGATCGGTTCTGTAAGATGGCCATGTTTTGCCCAAGATTCCGCTGAAAGCCTGCCCAAGATTCTGCTGAAAGCCACGAGGCTGAAGCAAGGAGAATTTCACGACCTTCCCAAGACTACCTTGATTTTTTGCTCTACGCATTGATTTATGCCTTCACGGAGTGTAAGAGCAATCATTCCCATTGATTCATATTCTTAAGAGAATTGCCAAATGTGACTCAATGAACTAAGAGCCCTCGTTTGCTCCACCCTCCTGATTGTGATATGTGATCCCCTCATGATCAAATGGGCGAGAAGAGAGGCTGTTTGGCCTTGTAATAACTCAGATACTGTAGATTATTGCATTAGGAGATTGGTCCTATCCCTTTTATTTATTAGTAAATCCAATAAAGAGGTCAAGTAACTTTCTTAAAAGGGAGCTGGGAAGGACTCCCCTAGCTGCTGGAACTCTTTGATTCCCTCACAAACTTTGTTTCTTGATTAGATATTCATTGGTTTCATCCTTGATGTGACTTGGTGTTTCCTTTGTTATCATTTGTTATCTATAGGAAGAATAGAAAAGCCTGTAACGATTAAAAGGGTTATTAAGTGCCAATAAGATGCGATAGAGATACAAAAGAATCAAATATGTTCTTCGGAGATGAAATAGATATTGAGAATTTCAAATTGCACTAGACAGGCACCCAAACCAATGTGATCCGAAGTTCTTGTCATCCTTAACTTGGTAACAACATTTGTGGTGATCCTTCTATTACAAGTTATTTTACTTCTCGTTTTTATCAACTTCAAAGTTTTATTTTCTCGCCAAAATGAGGCTTAGTGTTATTTGTTATGGAAAAGGCCACTGATTCTTTTTGTCATTGTTTGCAATGTGTTAAGCTCTCCATTTGTGGAAAGTAGTAATTGCCCTTACTTGTATCCAGAATTCAATAACCATATTGTCCAAATATCTTGTTTCTTATAATTTATATTTTCCAAATGTCCATTGGATATGATTTCAGAATACAGATACATGTAGAATTTTTTTTTTTGTGTTTTGTTTTTGGGAAAGTGGTGGCAACATATATTTCTCTGTAGATATGTTCACAAAAATATCCTACCAGGGGTGGGATGATGCAGCCAATACGTTGGGTGCTCTTCATAACTCTACAAAATGTACACAAAAGCAAAAACAAAACCATAAAGACAAAAAGGCCATTTTTGGACAAAAACATGAGGCCTATACATATATTAGCATATAACTGTGAAAATGTTGAGACTTGAGAGAAAGTAAGGTAGAAGAAAAGGAGATAAGATGGATGAAACAAAAGTCTAGAGAGAGGAGAGTAGGGAGAGATGAAAGCATAGGCATAGGAGACGAGAGTGGGGAAAAGTAGAAATGGGAGAGAAGGAATAGTAGGTTCTTATAAATGGGAAAACGGAGAAAGGATAGACGAACAGGTGACCATAGAGAGAGTAGAGTGGGAGGCATGAATAGTAGATGAAGGAGGGGGGGGTGAATAGTTGATGAAGGAGGACATAGGAGGGGGGGGGTGAATAGTTGATGAAGGAGGACATAGGAGGGAGGAGTGGATAGTAGATGAAGAAGAAAGGGTAGAGCTGAAAGAGATAGAAGCAAAGCAAAAAACAAAAAATTATGTGGCGAATTCATGCAACCCAAGATTTGCCCCCTTTTGCTGAAGCATCAGCAATCGCATTGGCCTCTTGCTAAGTATGTGGAAGTTGACTCTTAAGAGGCATGCAGAAATGAAAAATGTGATCAAATACGTGAGATAATCTCCAAGGGTAAGAGGGACTTCCTCAAAGCCCAAAATATAACTTCTTCGGAGTCTCCTTCAACCAGTAGATGTTATCCTTAAGAAGGGTCAAATCTCTTAATTCCCTCAAGAATGGCATTTGCTTCGGCCCAAGAAGAATCCCCTAGACTGATATATCCCTAGGAAACTAAATAAAGTGCATTCGTGTGAATTTTATAAAGGTAGCTCCATATACACAGTGGCCTAGGTTGCCAAGGGAGAAGCCTTTGACCATAAGTTTGATGACAACTGTGCTTAGGGGAATCCAAGTGGTAGATCTACAACTTCTCAAGGGTTTGAGAGTGATAATGTTGGCCAATTGGATATGAGATACGTGGCTTATTGAGGTTTGATGTTTTCTAGCCCAAGAGATAGTGAGATCTCTTGCATATTTAGCAGTGGCATTTTCTAACCTCTTTAGTTGCCAGGAATATTTTGGAGTTGCTTTCTCGCCAAATACAGGTAGTCCCATCAATAGGTCGGGTAGCAAGTAGAGAGTTAAAAACCAACATTCGTGCAGTTGGGGGTGACCCATGTCTAATTGAAATCTTAAAGATGCCTAGCCCACATCAAGGTAGCTTAATTATGGGGAGGTTTATTTGATTTGATTATGTCATCTTATACCTAGTCCTAGTAGTATCGGTTATCAGTATTGGTATCAACATGATATGATACCAGCGCAATAAATATATACAAGTATTTGTTCTTCATACATAGACTAGAAGAGCTCAAGAAAATCGAAACTGCTACCATGGTGTATACTTGAGTCGTCATCACCATCATCATCTCTAGAGCATTTCCCAACTAATTGGGGTCGGCTACATAAATCTTGGTCTGCCATTCTGCGTTATTTAGGGCCATACCCTAAGTGAGGCCATATGTCCCCATATATTTCAATACTTTCAACTGTCTTTTTGGGCCTACTCCTTGTCCTTTTTGAGCCCTCCACTCAAACTAACTCGCACCTCCTAGGTTTGGGCAACACATGACCAAGCGATTTAAGTCTATTTTCTCTCATCTTATCGCCTATTGGTGCCATACTTAAATTATCCCGAATGTATTCATTTTGATTTTTATCCTTTCTTGTCTTGCCACTTATCCATCTCAACATCCTCATCTCAGCTACACTCATTCTATGGATATGTTGTTTTTTGTCCGCCCAACAGTCTGCTCCATAAAGCAAAGCTGGTCTCACAATTGTCCTATAAAACTTCGCCTTCAACTTCATTGGTTTGCGGCGATTACATAAAACTTTGGTTGCACATTTCCACTTTCGCCCACTCAGCTCTAATTCTATGTTCGATATCTTCTTCTTTGTTTTCCATTTTCTTGGATTATTAACGTATGATATCGAAAGTGCGCTCTTTTTGGTATTTCTTGGGCGTCAATCTTAACTATTTCCTTGTCTCTACTCCTATTATTACTAAAATTGCATTCCATTAATTATGGTTTGGTCTGACTAATTTTAAAACCTTTAGATTTTAGAGCGTCCTTCCAAAGTTCTTTGTTTTGGCACTATTTCAAACTATGTAATATGCAAATAACATGTACCATGGTACCTCATCTTGTAGGTGCCTAGGTAAGTCGTCCAATACTAAGACAAAGAGGTATGGGCTCAACGTTGATCCCTGATGTAGACCTATTGTCACTGAAAACTCATTTGTCTCTCCACTAGTTGTTCACACACTAGTTAGCGCTCCTTCATACATATCTCTTACCAAATTGATATGTAGTATCTGGAGACTCCTTTCTTTTCTAACAACCACCAAATTAAATTTTAAGGTACTCTGGCATAAGCTTTCTCTAGATCAATAAAGACCATGTGGAGGTCTTTTCTATTTGCCCTAAACTTCTCAATCAGTTGCCTAAGTAGGAAAATAGTTTCAGTTGTTGAGCTCTTTGTCATAAAACTGAATTGGTTTTTTGATACAATTGTTTCATGCCTTAGTTGTTACTCAATGACTCTATCCCATAGCTTCATAGTGTGGCTCATAAGTTTGATCATTTGATAGTTCGCATAATTCTATGTCTCCTTTGTTCTTGTAAATAGGTACTACAATACTTTTCCTCCATTTGGCATTTTTCTTTGTTCTTACTACCTTGTTGAACAACATAGTTAGCTAGTCAATGCCGATCTCCCCCATGCTCTATCGAGATACTATTGGGTCCTAAAGAATTTCCTATCTTCATCATCTTTAAAGCTTCTTTCACTTCCGATATCCTAATCTTACAGGTATATCTATGACCTTCACCCACATTTATGCCAACAGGTTGGTCTTGAGTAAGATCCATTAATTATGTATGCCTTTATTCATTTGGAGGTCTTGGAAGATCTTTTATTTTTTATTTTTATATTGTAGAAGAAGTTCATTTATTCTTTTTCATATTTATGTTTTCTTCTTTTGCTGTTGAAACTGCTGTTTGTTTGCTTTGATGATACTGATTTACTGTCACCTAATAATTATGGGTACATTCGTAATCTTACATTTTGGTATCCCAGCTACTTCATCAAACTATTTCTTGACAAGAAATATGCGTTGCCCTACCGAGTAATTGATGCTGTTACTGCACATTTTATGAGGTTCATGGAGGATACCAGGGTAATGCCTGTCATATGGCACCTGTCTCTTCTTTCCTTTGTTCAAAGGTATGGTTCTTGCAAATTTTTACTAGAAGCTGCCATTGTTGTAATTGGTCTTTCTTTATGGAGATTATTAGTTTGACAACCTGTTATTCAAGAAAGTGCCAGTAGGTTTGTAACCTTTTATCTTATGTTATTTATTAATCACCAACTTCTGGACGTCTATGTTTACAACATTTTATACACTCATTTCATTGTGTTTATGACATATACTACACATATCCCTATGGACTTAGACATGTGTACCCTCGAAATGAAAGTGTCCCCTTGTGAAAGAATGAGCAATGACTCATTGCAAGAAATAATACCATAAATAATTTGCACTGGAGGGAAGGCCAGGGGATTTTAAGCCCATAGGTATTTCGCTGAAGGGAAAGATATTTGCGTTTTGTAAGAGAAAAAGATCCTGCCAAAATTTATCTCTTAGATATTGTCTTTTGTTATGCAGTTCTTTTTTATGCATCACATGTTAGTTGCTAATGTTGCAGTGAACCTTTGCCAAATATTACTGTATTGCACAATCCATAACTGCGTTTGCAGCGAGCCTTAGCAAATTATACTGGAAACTTCAAAGTCGAAAAAGGCTTTTAAAATTTGAAGAAAAGCTGATGTCTTCTTATGCCATGAGTTTACTGATTTGTATGCTTCTTTCGGCTTACTTGATTTATTTATGTTCTAAATGTTATTGTTTTGTACTTCTTGTAACAGAATGCATGGTTTATCATCATTCAAAATCTTGTTACTTTTGTCTGCCTTGAAGTTTGCTTCGATCTTTCCTATTGAAAGCACAACAATTGCCTACCTCATTGATTTCCTTGCTATGCCTCTGAATTTTTTCCTTCCCCCCCCCCCCCCCCTTTAATGGATCAATTGCAACTCCTAGACAATGGATGAAGTTTTATCATGCTTTACATGGATCAATAACGGATGTTTTCATAGCCTGTGTATGATTGGGGTTTCTTCATCTCCTCTTCAACAAATTAGTGGACGGATATTTAGGAAAACACTAATAGATCCAGCATAGAACAATAAGTTGCTATTTTCATTACTTTTCTCTGTGTTCATATCCTTATAAAATGTAATGCATGTCTATACAGGTACAAAAATGAACTTACGAAGGAAGACAAAGATAATATTGATCGTCTAATTCAACATCAGAAACATTATAAGGTGATTCATAGAAGCCTTTACCTGTTTCCTGACTTTTCTTACTGTCTATGGCTTGTATTAGATGGTGGAATTGGGAGGCGAAGCCATCTTTTCTCAGTTTGCGTGAAAGAAGTGTCCCTAAATAATAGTTTCAATAAGTGCCGTGTAAATACTTCTCACAGTGAATTCTTGAAATAATGTGTATCTGATGCATATGCTTTGTTGTGTAGGTTACGCCTGAAATCAAGAGGGAGCTCAGAAGTAGTCGAAATCGTGGTGAAAAAGAGTTCGACTTTATGTCAATAAATATCCTTATATGCTGACCAATTGTTTGTTGCTGTTGTTAGAAATAGCATTGCATATTTGTGAAGAAATCGCTACATTTTTTCGATTCTAGGGCTCAATAACTTTAGGTGTGTGTCTTTGTGTGTGTGTGTATATATATATATAGGGATTGTCCATAAAGAGACCATTTACCTTTTGTGCATGGTCACAATTATTCCCACTCATTAGATATCAAATTGGGTGGCTTGGGGTGAGTCACGAAGTCCGAGAATATTTTTTTTGGAACTTTTTGTCTAATCAATGATACT